GTCCACCGCCTTTGCATCCTCGGCGGCTGCCTGGCCCTGCTGCGGCTGCCGTACCTTGGGATTGCATACATTCCGGACTGGGTCCGTACGTACGTGCCCGAGATCCCAGATGTGAAGCTGGCCGGGCAGCCGGAGGTCTGCGCGTGGGAGATCATCTGCGGGCCCAAGACCTGCGCGGTGCAGGGCAACCTGCACATCGGCTGGACGCTGCCGCAGCTGGTGGGCCCCTTGTCTTGACGGGCAGGGCCAGGGCCGGCCACGGCTTCGAGGAAGCAAGGGAGGGGCCGCTGCCCTGGATGCGTGCGTGCTGACAGATGCTTGGCAGCTTGCCGCGGAGTCTGGAACCAGCCGCGGCAGCTGGTTGGGTGCCGTCGACGGTGCAGGCAGGCAGCCGTGCGCCGCATCCCCCCGCCACCGACATCCCCCCCCCGCCCCTCCTACCGCGGCCGCCGCAGCCGCCCTCCTACTTCATCCCCTCCGGCGCGATGCACTTCATTTCGTTCTTCGGCCCCGCCCTCATCGCGCCCGGCATCTGGCACCCCGAGCGCATCGCGTTCGTTGTGCTCGGCCTGCTCTCGGGGCCCCTCCTGACCCAGGCCTGGGCGACCGCCGCCTCGGGCCCCGTCGTCGGCCGCCTCGAGTGGCCGAGCGTGTGGTGCCTGTATGCTGTGGTTCAGATTCTCCTGGGCATCGGGCTGGAGTTCTTCCTGGGAGTTGATGAGGCGGTCAACCAGCCCGGCCACAGCGGCTACGAGCGGTTCAGGACGAGAGTTCTCGCCGGGAAGCTCTGGGGCGGCACGCCCGACGTGCTCGCGGCGGCCGGGCCGCGGTGGTCGGCGGCGGCGGCGGCGGGCAAGGGGGCGGGCGGCCGGGCCAACGGGAAGGCGGCGAACGGCGGCGGGGCGGCGGCGGTTTACGCCGACGACACGGCCGGGGAGCGCGACGCCAACGGGCACGACAAGCACGCGTGAGGCGGCGCGTCCACGGGTGCGCGCGCGCCACTCGGGTGCAGGGGAGTGCGGCGGGTGGGCGGCCTCCGCCCGATGGTCGCGCCCCGCGCCAGCAGCGGCGCCCTTCAGCGTCTGGATAGGGTGCGCCTCGGTGTATTGGATCGCACCGCGAGCACCTCGCCGGCCCTCGCAGATTATTGCAAGCAGGGTTCCTGCTCTCTCGTCGGCGCTGGTTGCGAAGGCGCAAGTCGCAACGGCGGCCTGCCCTTTTCCTTATTTCGTGAGGCCCGGTCAATCACAGTTATACGATTTCCAAAAACGGCCGCGTTGCGGGCTGAGAAGATGCAGTTGCACACCTACGGGCCCAGCAGGACACACACACAGAAGGCGGCATCGCGAGGGCGCGGCCACGGGCGGCGGCGCCGCAGCCCCCGCGCACGCCCAAAGTGGGCGCAGCTGCGCCACCTCCCCTTCCCGTTTCATGAGGGGGACATCCCTCAGCCCGGCCTGCCGCCCGCGCGCCGTCAGCGCGGCAGCGGCCAGTGCTCGACGCCCGCCCTGACAGCGTGCGCGCGCGTCCGTGGCCGTGGTGTTGCTAGCTCCCCGCCGGAACCTCGCAGCCGTCCTTTGCACTGCCGTGGCGCTGCTCGTATTTTGCTGTAGCATTCCTAATGACAATGCTGTCGCGGCCCTGCGTGCTTGCCCGCCCTCCTGATAAGCCTGCAATGCTGATAAGATGCGGTCAGTCCACATGGGCGGCGGCTGCCGCGAGCGCCACCCCCGCAGGCATTTCCAATTGCCACGTGTGATTACAACATGCAACCTCATGTCTCGCCACGCGCGGGCGGCCGAAATGCCCGCCGTGCAGCTGGGGTGCGCCCTGTGCTGTGTGCGTGCAGGGGGGCCAGCGGGATGCCCATTGACGGTCGGCGACCGGCCCTGTCTCAGCAAGCTGCTTTGACCCTGGTAGATTGTGTTTGCAGCAAAAAAACACATCAACAAACTAGACCGTGGGTAAGTTTCAGGATGGATGGCAGCCAGTTGCGAAAGGCGGATCGAGCTCATGTGGTGGGTGACTCAACGCAGGAACCTGTGCGGCTGCAATTTTGCACGTACGCGGCCTCAAAACTCTCAGCAACACAGCAAACACATCGAACCACGCGCCAACGCAGCGATGGTGCGGCCGCGGGCTCCTCATAACGAGACGCAGCCCCGCGTCACCCCTGCTTAGTCATGATGAAGAGTGACCCCTTATTAGTCGTGAACACCCGGAAGTCGTCGTCCCAGTAGGTCGCCGCCCAGTGGCCGCGCATCTGCCCCGGCTCCCACGTCTGAGGGGGCGCGTTTGAGGGTTGTCGCGTTGGAACGCGCTTGCAACTGGGCGAGCACAAAGCCGGCCCCGGAGTGTTATCGGACGTTGTAGGTTGGGCCCGTGGCACCAGGATTGGGGCCGAAGCAGCCACCCCTCTCTGATGCTGCAGCATCACAGGCACGCACACAACCTGCACGGCCCCCTCGTCGCCCATCCCTTCCTCCGCCCGGCCGCTGCTATGCCGCTCCCTCCGACCGCACCGTCCCTTCCCCCCTGCCACCCGCGTGCGCACTCCGTCCAGTCACCTGCTCGCCAGCCGTCTTCCCTACCCTCCATCCCTCCAACCCCCCGGCCCC